CCCTAAACCTGCCCTCAATCGTATGTATAATGCTCAGTGGCGTAGCGAGGGTGTTTGGCGCCCGGGGACAAGATTCATTTTAAACGCCCTCTTTTCTTTTTTTCAACTCTCAAACCCATTATTGTTACCAATAATATAATATCAAATCACATTTTGGCGCCCCTAACTAGCTTGCGCCCGGGGACATCTGCCCCCCCCCCATCGCTACGCCTCTGATAATGCTTTTATTCAAAGTATATAAACTGATTTATTTCAATTACGTTACCAATGATGGTTGTTTTAAGCTTTTAAATTAGCTGAACAAAAAAAAAAACGGTTTAAGATGTTGTATATGTGCTTGCATCGTTTACACCCGTCAAAATGGTGGTAAGTCGAAAAATGCTTACTATACAAATTCCCCCCCCCCCTTCGCATCCCGTCCTCTGTACGCAAGATCCACTCATCACCCAACGATCTCGTACTTACCCTCAATCACAACTTTCCCCAAAACTACCATATTTACACACAAACCTTTCTGCCCCACCCCTATCCAGACGCCCTGATTCCCTATACCCTCCTAATTTCATTTACGTTTATTTAATACCCTCCTAACCTTCCCACTTCACTGTCTCTCCTCTCTCCACTTCTTCCCTCTCTGTTAATCCTTATTAAATCTTTATGCTACGACAATTCCTTGTCCTGTACCAATTACCCAGTCATACGCTAATTATTTAGCACACTATATCGCTATCCCCGTTATTTTACACTCTACCCAAAGAGTTTCATAACCGATCAGAGCTAAATTATACAAGTGTAGGTTGCCACAAGAGCAGGTTACCATCCGAGCAGTGTCACCAGAGCAGGGTTCCAACTTTGATATAATTTGTTGTCATCGGCAACGAATCTGTGTACCAAGTTTCAGCTCGATACGTTGACTGAAAGGGTTAGTGGAAGCAGGGTTTCTTTCAGCTACCGTTATATCTCCAGGCATGGGCGCCGCAGAAAATTTTCCAGGGGGGGGGGGCAAAATATGTTTAGTAATGTTTTAATGTAGTTTTAATTTACTATGGCGTATTTGTATGATGAACGAACGGACAGGACACTGGAGTAATGAAGGGCGTACTGTAGCAACACATTTTTTATTAACACAATATATGTATATAACAAAAAATATTACACCATAAATTTAAAATAAAATTTATTCCTTACACAAGAACTGGAGTAGGCTGTTACTACCAAACATATCTACAATTTTGTCCATAAAGTCTTTTTTGTTGCAGTTCACTTTGTCTCTGTGTACGCTTAACATGCACAACCCAGACAGACATTCATCTGACATTGTAGATCTAAGCCATGTTTTTACACAACGTAATGTGCTGAACGATCGCTCTACTGTACATGTTGTTGCTGGTAATGTTAGCAAAACTAGTAAGGCATGCCTGACAGCCGGATAAAACTTTGTAAAAGGTAACAAGTCGATGAAATCTTGGCTACTTTTGTATTCTCGGGTTTTCCAAAAATCAAACCAACTCAAGGCTTCATTTTCAAAATTATCAATGTGGTATACCTGATTAATAGTAGACATTGTATCCTTAAACTGTTGACGATTCAGTTTGCAAAATTTCGAAGGATGTAGCAACGCTAAGTTAAATTGTGCACTGTTGGCTTCACAAAATCGACTCTCCATTGAGCTAATTAGAGAATGTAAGTATGGAATGTAAACTGTTTGTCTGAAGTACTCTTCAACACTTATGTTTCCCGGATTATTTCGATGCTTTTGTCTTCCACACTGTCTTGGGATAATCAGTTCAATATCCACCTTCTGTGCGAGTTGGACTGTTTTCTCAAAAATATCCCTGAAATAGTTATCGTAATCCCCTCGTTGAAGTTTTACTACACTGAGCAGGTTTTAAACTTGCAGTTGGACTTCTGGAAGATCAACTTGAACAGCTTGAAGAGCCTGAGTAACTGGTTCCAGTATGGCAGAGTACTGCGAAATAATATTGAGACAAAATAAAAACGTGCTGGACTTTGATGAACACTATAACTGATGTGCAGCCTGTCATGTATATCGTCTTGCATGCAATGACAATTCTTCCAGTTGACAATAAAAATCTTCAAATTTACTAGAAAAAATCCGAATACTTTTATACTTGCTTGTCCATCTTGTCTCACACAGAAGAGGAATATTTGGGACAGAGGACCTCCTTGTTGGGCTTGTCCATCTTGTCTCACACAGAAGAGGAATATTTGGGCTTGTCCATCTTGTCTCACACAGAAGAGGAATATTTGGGACAGATGACCTCCTTGTTGGGCTTGTCCATCTTGTCTCACACAGAAGAGGAATATTTGGGACAGAGGACCTCCTTGTTGGGCTTTCACGAAAAAATGTAATAATTGCTTTGATAGTACCAATAGTATTTCGTATCACTGCAACATTATTAAGATCATTTACTACGAGATTCAGTCTATGCGAGGCACAGTGAACAAAGGCAGCCTTGGGGTAAATACTTCGAATGTTTGCCTGAACACCATTTTCTTTTCCGGCCATTGTCGAGCACCCATCATAACCTTGACCCAGCAGATTATTAAGGTGAAGACCAAATGTTTTGCAATATTGAATAATACAATCAGATATCGTGGCGGCGTCCATATCTTTCAGTGGAGAAAATCCAAGGAATTCCTCACGAATCATAGCCTTCTCACTAGACGTATCTACAAACCGGACTCCCAGTGACAACTGTTCTGTTCCTGAGATATCTGCTGTTTCATCGGCTATGATCGAGAATCCAACAGCATTGTTGGCAGCTTTTACAATGTCTTCTCGCAGAGCTTGTTCAGACAAGTTGATCAAATCATTCTGCGTTCGGTGTGATGTGTAACGTGCATTTTCAGCAGCTGTATCAAAATGGTTTCTTAAAATACTGTCTCCTCCCTCAATTCGATACGCATAAAGTTGTTCGACATTTCCTTTGGTGCTATCTTTCCCACGAATTGCCAAATCATTTGTTCCGCAAAATAATATTGTTGAAATAATAGGATACAGTTTCTTTCTGTTCTCTTCAATAGTTCGTTTTACTGAATTATCTATCTGACAAATAATATCCTTATTTGGATCTCTAATGGTTGACGCGAAGTGTTCAGCATCTTGTTGAGACCCACGATGCCATGCTGAGCTGATATGGTTTCTGGCACATTCATTAAAATCTTTGTACTTTGTACAAGGAGTAGTAATGAAGGCACCTTGAAATCCTCTTTGAACTGGTTGCGGAAATAAAACACAGAAAATGCAAAAAGCACCTTTTAACCTAGGTGAATATGATAACCATGGAGTATACTGAGTCAGCCAAGATTCCCTGAAACAACGTTTTCCACTTCCAGACATGTCGCCTTCAAAATCATATGACGGGTGAGGCTTGTATGGATCAGTTAGCAAATGATACATAAGATCGATAGGAATCTTCGTAGTAGATTTTACATAGAGTCCAATGTCATAGGTTAACCTAGTATCTCCACTTTCAAGCTTGTCAGGGTCTGGTTTTGGTGATAGCGTTGCTGCTGCAGATGAACAAGCAACAGCATCACTTTTCCGTTTTTTGCAGACTGGAGTTAACGTTATTTCTTCAACATCTGGAGTCGATTGTTGTGACTGTCTGAGAGATTTTAAAAATTTCCGGATATCCATGACTCCTAAAACTAAAACTAGATCTAGATTAAAACTAAAACTAGTTTAAAACTTAAACTAAAACTAAAACCCAACCAGTCTCCATAGACCTGGTCGAAAAGAAAATAAATACTAGTTAAGAAACAAAACACTTTAAAATAATATAACTTAATTAACAAAATAAATTATGTTAATTTACAATATAACAAGCTTAGTAATTATAACTAAAGGAAAATAATCACAATAATTAGATTATTAAAGGTTTACAAAATAACTTTAACCACTCTTGCCACTGTATGTGCAAACAACCTCATTAATTATTCAAACATAGGACTGTACAATAAAACAAATGATTTCAGAGCACTTCCCCAAAGGTATCCTTAAGATTACTTTAGAAAGTCTCAATCAATCATTGTACAATCCTTTGTTATTGAATTTTCATCTTAATTTACTTAAAGTAAATAAGCACACTTAGATCTAACAACAGTAGTCTAGGTATTTAAAATTATTACAACTCATTTCACATGTAGCTCATACAAACTAAATTTATAACGAAATTAAAATAGATAATTTAGATATTTCTAATACTTTCTTTACCGCTAACACAAAGTGATTTAAAATAAAAGTTAAACTATTTGACTTTTTTCCAATTTAAACATCAACATTTTGACAAGTTTACACTGTACCTGGATAGCGGTATACTACTCTTAAACAATGAACTAACGTCCTTTAACATATTCGCCTTAAAAAATATACATAATAAAAATACTTATGTTCAAAACAACTTTTGGCTCACAACATACAGTGATACATAAAATAATTAATATAGAAAATNCTTTTTTTTCTTTTTTTTTTTTTTACTTTAATACATTTTTTGCTTTTTTGTGTCTAAAAAAAAAATTTAATCCCCCAAACCCGGGGGGGGGGGGGCAAGCGCCCCCCCCCCTTTGCCGCCCCCCCCCCTCCTGCGGGCGCCCATGCTATGAAATGACCTGTAGAAACACTTTGTTTATTAATAAAGTTATAAAGGAATGGTTTGCTAACATCTGATTTAATTCAAGAGCATATGAACTAGCAATGCTTATTTGATTTGACTCCACTGAATAGTCTGCACTTTGTGTTGAACAAATCAAGAAATAAAGCTTATAAATCCTTGCAAAAGTCTAAATGCTATGCTTCCCATTATATGAATATTTTAGGGTTGCCCTGGCCTCCTTTGGCCACTGCTGAAGAACTTTGGATAAAATACCTTGTTCCACTCTTTCCTGAAGAACTATTTGGATTTTTGTCTCTGTGTCTGAAATGTTTTTATTTGCTGCTAATGATTTGAGTTTGTTTCACAATGTCTCTGTTCTCAGAGGTGTTCACTGGGTTTTCTGGAACGTGACACAGCTTGATTTCCTGCTGCAGTACATGAAACTATTGCAAGTTCTCATCATGTGTCATTACTACATCACCCTGGCCATACGAGCATTGAGGAAAGAAAATCTAGCCGATAGGTATGGAACAGTTTACATTTTTCTATATAATTTGATTGTGTAGAGCTAAAATGGTTCTTAAGTCTACTTAAAATATCTTAGATTTTAAACCTCTCTCTGGTCGTATTAAAACACATATCCCCTCCGAGTCAGATCAATTTTGACTGTCTCTACTCGGAACATGACTCTAAAACCTTTGAACTGACAATCTGAAAAATTATTTAGGAATGATGACCTGCTGTGACAGTCTGACAAATTAGTTACGAATGATGACTTGTTGTAGCTGTCTGACAAATTAATTAGGACTAATGACTTGGTGGGACAGTCGGAGACAAATTAGTTAGGAATAATGAATTGCTTGGACAGTCTGACAAAGTTTTTAGGAATATTGACTTGGTGTGACAGTATGACAAATTAGTTATGAATGATGACTTGCTGTGCCTGGAAAACAGAGTTTAACTCATAAAATATTGTTACTGCTATTTAATAACAACAATAACAAATGTCCTGACTAACGGGCAGAGAGGAAATTTACTGGCTATGTATGAATTTTTGTGTATAATGTTTATTTTTAGAATTTGTTTACTAAATGTTAAGATAAAAATATTAAATGAATTTATCAAAATAAAATGAATAAAAAAATTGATTCACAGTCACCTGGGGGGGGGGGGGGGGGGTGTAAGCATTCTAACCAATACACCACGGTATGGTCAAATCAGGAGGTCAGTATTCGTAAGTATTCTAATCGATACACCACTGCACAGTCAACTCAGGAGGTAAGTATTCTAACCAATACATCAATGAAAAAACTTAATCAGGAATTATCAAGCAGTCTGATGATCAGGAATTATCAAGTGGTCTGATGCTAGCTGCAAAAAGAAACCTTAGTAAAGATATTGATCAGCAATAGCTCGATATGTCTTCTAATGTTGGGCTTAGTCTTGTAGAGACATATTTATTGTTTTATTTTTCAGGTTCATGTACCCGTTTCTTTGTATTGCCGTCTTGTATTTCACCATCATTACATCTTTGGGAATTTCCAACACCGAGCCCACCCATGTGGAGTGTATTGGTTTGTTCATTTTCTTTATAATACTATTATGGTGACTCAATGGTTACGTACATTGTTTATAATGCTGGCTAATAATATAATTACAATTAAGTTGATTCAGTGGTAGTGTACTTTGTTTATAATGCTGGTTATTAATATAATTACAATTAAGGTTACCGGTATTCAAAGGTTGGGTATTTTTTTTAATAATGCTGGTTATTAATATAATTACAATTAGGGTTATTCAATGGTTGGGTGTTTTGTGTACAATTAATAAAACTATCTACCACAATCGACTTTCAACTATTAATTCTTCTTGGCCATACTTCAACCCCCAACCCCCCATAAAGTAAATAAATTATTTGGTTTCTCTTGCATATACACTAGAAAACATTGATAAATAGCTAATATTAAATGTCCATGATGGTCCATATTTTATTTGAACTCAGTGTTTCTCTGAACATTCTTTGAGCTGTTTTAAGGCCATTCATTCCATGTAACATAACGGAATAGATTCAATCAATTGAATCACCGACAAATAATTATCCTAAACCTAATTTTATAAGAGCCTGATAATGTTCTATATTCTCACTTGACTTAGCTCCTCAATGGCCTAGATCTTGATAATGTTCTATATTCTCACTTCACTTAGCTCCTTAATGGCCTATATCTTGATAATGTTCTATGTTCTCTCTTCACTTAGCACCTTATTGGCCTAGAGCTTGATAATTTTCTATATTCACTCTTCACTTAGCTCCTTATTGGCTTGCCCTTTCTGGAGCTGAACTTGTAGTGGTCCAACTGTTTTGTGTGTCAGGATTTTACATTACCCGTCGTCTCAATGAGATCAGCACGCTCGGCTCTGTTCGGTGGTCACAGAAGAGAGATCTTTGGTGGTAAGTTGATATGAATTTGCAATATATCTCAAAGTATTATCTTTGCCTTAAACCCTATATCTGTCAAGTGCATTTTTCTGTAGTGCCAAGCCATTTTTAGCATTGTCATATGCTTGTCAATAGTGAAAAAATTCCACACTAAATGAATTCAGAGACCCTTACAAGGATACAATTTCTGAAAGTACGTTGGACAAGGTATGAAAAGAATTTTTTTTATATTATGTATGTTGACAATGACCTTTAAAGAGGAGTAAAATTTTACCACTCAACTTCTGAATTCAATCCAACCTAATACTCAACAAATTCTTCTAACTAATAAAAAAAATAGGTTTTTGAGATATGACAAGCAATATTCTTTCCGAGAATGTCAAGTTATAGTTACTTATATTGAAAATTGTTATATTGGTGAACTTTCATCATTGACTAATTTCAAATATCTGTCATACAAGAATCAAAATGGAAGGTGTACAGCACAAAATGAGTTCAAAAATTCCCATTCAATTGAAGTTATGCAATCTATTTTTTATTAATTTAACTCCAGAACTTACACTAAGATAAATAACTTTGAATCTCTTTAGGTATGTCTTTGCGATCCAATCTTTGTCTTTTCTGTTCGATTTCCACACTTTCCCAAACAAATTTGTACAATAAGACTAAGCTTTGGGCTAAAAATGTCAATATCTTACTCTTACATAACCATCACCGCTAGAGCTAATACTAATATCGTCAATACTAGCACATGGAATATCTATGAAATCATTGCTTTCATTTTAATCCATTTGAAATAATTTCAATAAAGAAAGTCTGTTTTGATCTTGCAATTTCCAGCATCAGACATAAGGGCAGTCAAAATTTGAGCATATTTCACAAGCGTTTAAAAGCAAAAATCCCTTATGACAGCACACTGATAGAAGCGGAAATAGTACAAAAACACATTGCTAAAGTGGGATTTTCTCTTAACCACATAATTATTTGCATTTTTATTGACGTTTGATCCCAGCATCCAATTATAACTACAGATGATCAGCCATTATGACAGTTATAGGGTTCATAGAGTTACTACCCGGTACTAAATAGTTTCTTTTATACAAGAATAATATTTTCGGCCAGTCCAATAAATGAAAATGATCAATGAAAACTTTATTCCTTGTTTTAGTATTAATTTTTTTTTTAGAACATTCAATCAAATTAATGGTTCTTTAACATATTCATAATTAATTGGTTCTGTAAAAAAATTGTATTAATTTTGGCTTTTACATTGATTGACACAGCATCGTCATTGTCTTCGAACTGTCTGCCCTCAGTACATTTGTTTATGACCTGACCCTACAAATCTGTAAGTAACATGGAAGCCTATAACTGTGAAGAGTGTCATTGATTAATTCAAGTCAGGATTTGTCTATTAAAAGAATTAGAGGTTTTTAATGAACCCTGACCTCAATTAAAATGTTTTCCATGACATTTAAACTATTTTTTAAAAATCTTTTTTTTTTCAGTGGGTAACAGAATAACTGGATGCAGTGCAATATTTGTAAGTCAATTACATACTTCAGTAGAGTTAGACATTTTTAAAATTCCTTTTTGTAATTTTGTGAGCTACTATTACTACACATATATAATACACAGTCATCTATTGATATTTATGAAATCGGGTGGTATATTTATAAATAATTATTTCCCCATCACCACCAAAAAGTATTGCTTGATTGATTGCTTGATTGCTTTATATTTCTTTATTTACTAAAAAAAAAAGGCTTCTGCATTAGTATGTAAATCTTAAACCAACTCCGCCCAAAGGGGGGGGGGGGGGGATCCGCGGCCATCCCCCCACAGTTTTTTTTTTTTTTTTTACAAAAAAAAAAAGGCTTCTGCATTAGGATGTAAATCTTAAACCACCCCCGCCCAAAGGGGGGGGGGGGGGAATCCGCGCGCATCCCCCTACAGATTTTTTTTCTTGGCAGGTTGGCTGGTCTGTATTCTCACTTTGTGGTGTTGTATAATTGATATTCTCTCTGTGGGGTTATATGGCACTTTCACTGTGATACTGTAATAGTATTCTCACTTTGTGGTGTTGTATAATTGATATTCTCTCTGTGGGGTTATATGGCACTTTCACTGTGATACTGTAATAGTATTCTCACTTTGTGGTGTTGTATTTGTATTCTCACTTTGTTTTTGTTTTTATTGGTGTCTTCACTTTGTGGTGTTGTATTATTATTCTCACTATTTGTCTTGTATGTGCCAGTATACACAATTGTCTAAACTAAATTTGTTTAACCTCCAACAGTCGTACCAGCAGATAATCTATTCACCGATGCTTGTTTCTCTGATGGTGAGTACTAATTAAGGTTTCTTATGTTAAGTTCACATTAATTCTCTCAAGTGTGTACACATTAATGTCACATTTTAGTATTTAGGGCTTCCTCATTTCCTGTAAAAATATTTTGAATATTAAATCTATCAAAATAAATGTTTTTTTTTAAAGTGCATGTCAAAAGTTATGACTTTTTTGCTGGATTATTGAATGCTTCTTACATTTGTGTAAATGAAATTAATTTAAAACCAACATCATCATCAGTGGAGCTACAGCCCATGTAGGGCCCTGGCCTGCTCCACCACATCCTTCCATTCAGAACATCATCATCAGTGTAGCTACAGCCCATTTAGGGCTCTGGCCTGCTCCACAACATCCTTCCATTCAGAACATCATCATTAGTGTAGCTACAGCCCATGTAGGGCTCTGGCCTGCTCCACCACATCCTTCCATTCGGAACGATCCATGGCTTTGCACCTTTATGTGCGAACCCGCAACTGGTGCAAGTCCTTCTCTACATTGTTGATCTAACTCAGTCTTGGACGACCGTTGAGCCGTCTGCCCCTAGGCTTCTGCCGGTATATCACTTTTGCTGCTCTACAATCCGGTGCTCAAGTGATATGTACCAAACCTCAAGTGATATGTATAAGACTTTTTAACATAGAAATCTATTTTCTTGTTCACTTCTGCTTTTTGACAGGTATTGAAACTACTTTTACCAATTTGGGTCATGCTGGCAGTTTTTCAACCACACTTTACAGCTTCAGAAAAGGAGGATTTTTTCCCTGGATACAGTGAAGATGTGGTAGGTAAAAGATACAGTGAAGATCTGGTAGGTAAAAGATATAGTGAAGATGTGGTAGGTAAAAGATATATAGTGAATGTGTGGTAGGCAAAAGATACAGTGAAGATCTGGTAGGTAAAAGATACAGTGAAGATGTGGTAGGTAAAACAATTATTGTTGTTAAAAAAAGTACTGTCGGATATTTCACATGGATGTGATGCTGCTACAGACATTACATGGTCCTTCTGATACAGATGTACTATAGCTATACTTGGCTCTTATGATACAGACATTACATGGCTCTTATGATACAGACATTAGATGGCTCTTAAGATACAGACATTAGATGGCTCTTAAGATACAGACATTAGAAGGCTCTTATCATACATACATTACATGTATCAATGTGCACTCTTGCTTACATGAATCACATGGAGCCCAAATGAAAATGTTCTAAATAATTAAGATGTTTACTGGTTTTATAAATTGTAGTGTTTCTGAAATGTTCTAACATAGATAATGTAGTGTTTTTGAAATGTTCTAACAGATATTGTAGTGTTTCTGAAATGTTCTAACATCTTAATATATTGATGTTAATAGATTTTCACTTTTTCCTTGACTTGGTTCAGACTTACGGCTCAATCTTCAGTGATGATCAGACTTACAGACAACTGTACCAACCTGATACGTTTTCCTGCACCTCTCCAATCCCATCTCCCTCTGGGTCACCTTCGTTGTTGGATGCTAGTTTACCCTATGCTTACACCAACCCGGCTCTGATACACACCAACCCGGCTCTCACACGATCCAGCCTACAACCCATTGCTGAAGAGAACAATGATGATGGGCTGACGCAGAAAAAAAATGTGCAGGTTAGAAATTTTAATGTTAAATATATAATAAAATCATCTGAGAAAACATTTTTAATTGTTTTTATACCCCATTTTACCAATTCAATCCCATACTAATTGAATTTAGCAGCCATTTTTCAATACCAAAGAGACAAATTTTGCTTATGGAAAGTCTTGCAAGTTGTGAGACAAATTCTGTTTATTGAAAGTCTTGTAGGTTGTGAGACCAAGGTATCTTATCGATAGTCAAGCAGGTGTCTCATGGGTTGTGTCATGGGTAGTGTCTTGAATTGTGTCATAGGTAGTGTCTTGAATTGTGTAATGGGTAGGGTCTGGAAATGTGTCATGGGTAGGGTCTGGAAATGTGTCATGGTTAGTGTCTTGAATTGTGTCATGAATTGGGTAGTGTAGGATAGTCGTTTTAAAGACAATTTAAACATATGAAATTCATTGAATATAGCACCTGTTATAGCTACATATACTTGTGAGTTGCAATAATTTCATCTAATTGCCTACCAAAGTTATTGACATAATTTCATCTTATTGATTGCCTATCAAAGTTTTTGACATAATTTCATCTAATTGATTGCCTACCAAAGTTTTTGAAATAATTTGATCTAATTGATTGTCTACCAAAGTTTTTGACATAATTTCATCTAATTGATTGTCTACCAAAGTTTTTGAAATAATTTCATTTAATTGATTGCCTACCAAAGTTTTTGACATAATTTCATCAAATTGATTGCCTACCAAAGTTATTGACATAATTTGATCTAATTCACTGCCTACCAAAGTTAATCATTTAACTTATATTTCTTGAAAGCTAACCTAAATAATATTTTTTACCTTGATATCTTGATACCAGGTAAAACACATGAAATCAACATCAACTTTGTCTGAAGGAGCTAATCCTAGACCTGCTAGAGCCCAGGGCCAATTTCAGAGGGGAAAATTCATCACTCGACTTGTGACCAAGTCAACTCAAGGCACTGGTGACAACTTTTAGAACATGGTGCTTTGACAGCAAATGTAACACTGACCAAGTCATCTCAACGCAGTGTTGACAAAAAATGCAAGAGAAGTAGAGTCTATCAAAGTTTTCAATTGTTTAGCACTCTTGTCACAAAGAGTTTTGTATAACCAAAGAGAAAACAATGCTCTTGACAATTAGTATGAAAGGAAATTTTAAACTTAATTCTTTCCCTGTTATACTCTTATTGACTGGTAGAATGATGTCAGCTGGTATTGTTTAGGTAGCCGTTAGTTTACAATTTTCTATTTATTACTCTTGAGTCTGCATGACTTTTTATCAAACTTTTTCTACTGTCAGGTTTCAACTATGTCAGGCAATGTTCCCTTTGTTGTATTACTGAGTTGTCACCAAATTATGTTTTTGTATCTGTTGAAGTCTATGTCAAAATTTTATTTTTCATTGAGGAAAGTTGTAAGATTTTTGTCTGATTATCGGCTTCAATGTATGGATATTGGCATTTAAAAAAAATGAAATTCTTGTACAACTAACTTGGATAGGCTGACTGTATAACTTAACAGCTGATTTGGATAGGCCATCTATACAGCTGACTGGGATAGGCTGACGGTACAGCTGAATTGGATAGGCTGACTGTACAGCTGACTGGGATAGGCTGACTGTACAGCTGACTGGGATAGGCTGACTGTACAGCTGACTGGAATAGGCTGAATGTACAACTGACTGGGATAGGCTGACATGGATAGGCTGACTGTACAACTGACTGGGATAGGCCCACTGTACAGCTAACTTCTCTTTTTTTGATCTTATGTGCTAACCAGGAAGTACAATTATGTAGACTTCTGTCATTTTAATTGATGTATTCCTCATTCACATTTCAACACATTCCTCATTCACATTTCAACACATTCATCATTCACATTTCAACACATTCTTTTTCATATCAATTCCAAATCTAAAAAATTCTATGCCTCAAGGCCGTCACTTCAAAAGATGTATTCTAAGCCTCAAGGTCAAATCAAAAGATGTATTATTTCAAATGTCTTGTATTTATTTGGTTTATGTTTAGTCATACTTTTGTTCTACTGTATGACAAGTCAGAGGTAACTGTACACAATCACCTACAACTGAGTACACAATTGCCTACTGCTGCACACAATCACCTACTACTGTGTACACAAGCACCTACTACTGTACACAATCACTTACTACTGTGTACACAATCACCTTCAAATAAGTATGCATTGCCCACTACTGTATACACAATCACCAACGACTACACAATCACCTACAACTACACAATCACCTACAACTTTACACATTTATCTACAATTGTGTACAAAAGCATGTACGGCTGTACACAATCACCTGCTGTGTAGACAATCACCTACTATTGTGTACACAATCACATACCGCTGTACACAATCACCTACTACTGTATACAACCACCCTCTGCTGTGTACAGTACCTACTAATGTGTACACAATCACAGGCTGCTGTGCACAATCACCTGCTACTGTACACAACAACCCTCTGCTGTGTACAGTCACCTACTAATGTGTACACAATCACATGCTACTGTTTACACAGGCCCACAATAATTTCCTCTTTTACCAGTCATGTAAATATAAGAAATAACTTGCAAAGATGTATGCCAAGTTATCTACCTCAATTTTCAGCACTGGTCAGTAAAACTTGTGATCTTCACAACATGACATGTGATCTTCACAACATGACTTGTGATCTTCACAACATGACTTGTGATCTTCACAACATGACATGTGATCTTCACAACATGACTTGTGATCTTCACAACATGACTTGTGATCTTCACAACATGACTTGTGATCTTCACAACATGACTTGTGATCTTCACAACATGACTTGTGATCTTCACAACATGACTTTTGATCTTCACAGCATGACTTGTGATCTTCCCAACATGACTTGTGAACTTCACAACATGACTTGTGATCTTCATAACACGACTTTTGAAAATGGAAAACAAAAAAAAACAAAAAACAAAATTTTTTAAAATTATTTCAAAAGTTTTGTTCCAAAAAAATAAGTGAAGAGAAATGGTGAACATTCCATTCACTCTTTTGTAGACTCTCGATAGGGCCTGTAGACTGTGACAGTGAACATGGCATCCATCCTTTCATTGTCACTCAGTAGGGCCTACATATTGTGACAGTGAACATGACATCCATTCTTTCATAGTCACTCAGTAGGGCCTACATATTGTGACAGTGAACATGGCATCCATTCTTTCATAGTCACTCAGTAGGGCCTACATATTGTGACAGGGAACATGGCATCCATTCTTTCATAGCCACTCAGTAGGGCCTATATATTGTGACAGGGAACATGGCATCCATTCTTTTATAGTCACTCAGTAGGATCTATATATTGTGACAGGGAACATTGCTTCCATCCCGTCTACCATTGAGCCTGGCACTTTCTACTGTTGAGCCATGATTTGATTTGCTTGACGGTAAAAAGTAGGCCCACAAAGTAGGCCCACCTTTCATAATAAATAAGTAAGTGTTGGCTGATATGTGTTTTGCCTCCTACATTAGTTTTATATTTTCTAGCGTTACCTAGTATTAGATTTAATTGGTACATTGGTTTTATTTGAAAACAACCATAACAATAAAAACGTGTTATAGGAAGAGCTCGCATTAAATGATGATTGTTCATCAATTCCTATTGATCAGCATTTATGGATTTAAAAGATCTTTTATGATATATTTTTAATGTCACATAAAAAGACAATATAACTTTTCCCTGCCAAACTCAGAAGTTTGGGAAGCACTGGTCTAACTAGTAATGATTAATCTGCCCCGATACTTACAATTTGATGAAGTTATGTAATGATTTTTTGCACTTGAATGATTTCTGTTATCTCATAGAACTTGATTCCTTTTGTTCACTCCATGTACAAGAGGGCTACTTAAACTATAGTGTCCAAAGTTTTGAACAAGAAACCTTGCAAGAACGAACAAACAATTCAAGTGGTGTATTTAATGCATCCATTTCAAGTCATTACGTTGATCACTGGTATATTTACTATCCCAATGATGTTATTTATTTTTATGCTACCAATGTTATTTATTTTTATGCTACCAATGTTATTTATTTTTATGCTACCAATGTTATTTATTTTCATGGTAATATTAATATGTTATTTATTTTTGTGATTCCAGTAACTATGTATCACACAACTTAACCCACCCCCCCACCCCGCCCATGACTTAATCCCCTACCCTTTTTCTCCACATTCCTCTTGCTGTCCTCTCTGATGCTGCATTACAGCTAAGTGCTATTTTAATTTTATATTGTTTTTACTGTAAGTTCGCTGAAGATGGCATCTTGCCGGCACATTCCTTGTTTTGTTGCATCCTTTTTTTCAGGGTTCCCCATACTTTGTTTCACTCATTTCCTTTTTTTCTGTATCCACCAGCTCTCTCCTACACACCTCCTTGTCCCACACCTCTCTCCTACACACCTCCTCGTCCCACACCTCTCTCCTACACAGGTCCTCATTCCCCATCTCTCTCGTACACAGGTCTTCATCCCCCACCCCATTGCTTCTCCCATGCCCCAGTTAATTTATTTATTAAATTGTTTACACTTTAGGCTCATCAACCAATTCAGTGACTGGCCTAGAATTGACCAGCTGGGTCTGTGACTGGCCTAGCATTGACTCGCTGGGTCTGTGAAGTTGTATCTGTGATCATTCAGTATGTTGTTTTATAAGACTTGACATACAATATCTAATACTCTAGGAAAGTTTAGTTCATAGATTTTGTTGATATTGTAGAGAACCTTGGTCGTCTCTGTTCTCTAACGTCTTTATCTGGATGATAACCTCATTCACTCTGTCACTCGTATTTCACCAATAAGACAACTCAGGCGATAACACTTGGATGGTTATAGTCTTTGCTCTATTATTGATCTGCTACTTCCCTTTGGCTTTCTCTCATCTCGCACTCAACTCTGACTGTCCTCTTCTCCTACCCGTCGGAGCTCTCCTCGACTGTCCGTTTTTTTTTGGGAGGGTTAAATTAACCGCATTTATTTGCATATACGGTGGTGGAAATAAAACATTAAAAATTATCAACGAATCAAACAAGCTGTGTGGTGATACATTATATAGACACTCAACCCACTTGAGAAATCTGAAATCAACATCCATCCAAACAAAAATTGAACAATTTTAACACCACAATATTAAGACAAATTTTTTATGAAAACTGAAAATGTATATTTTGATTTTTAAAAAAAAATAATGAAGATTTTGTAGGGAACATTGAATATAAAGGTTTAAATAAGCATGGGGGTGGTAATAAGATGGTTTGGGGCTGCTTCTGTCCCGCAGGAGTTGGTAAGATACATAAAATAGATGGTATAATTGACAAGTTTTTGTATTCAAGAATTCTTGATACATATCTACATGAATCTGCAAAGAAAGATAATCCCAAAAGGCTTTAAATTTCCATAGGATAACGCTCCAAAACATACAAGTATGCATGTTAAGGATTCAAATCGTAGTGGTAAACAGATAAAATGCATGGGTTGGCCTGCACAGTCACCTGATCTAAACCCCATAGAAAATATGGGGAATGTTGTTAAGGTAAATGTTACTAAAAGAACCCCCCAAAACTATGGTCAACTGGAGCAAACCATTTTTTTTTATCCCCAAAGTATGTCATACTTTGGAATTAAACAAATTGTTTGAAAAAATTATCATATAATTATACTATAATCTAAAACGCACTTCAGTATCAAATTGATAAAAGTGACATCCTCTGTCAGAATAACTTTTTTAAAAAAAGGGCACTTTGGCGATACTTGACCAAATTTAAAATGAACACAAATTTTGAGAAAGCAAAGCTAAGCTTTCAAGCTTAAAAACAAAAAATGAAATATATTTAATCAGCTGTCCAAAACATGAACTATTAATAAATTTTGATGAAAAGTTTTGAGGAAAGGTCATTCCCAGTTTTCTGTGCTAACAATCTTGCGTACATTTCTCTTGGGGCGGTGGATTGATTCCTTTTCATATTTCTTTTTTTTTTACCCTTTGGACGTCCAATTTCCTTCTGAGATTGCATCACTGGTTTTTCACTGGTTTCCCAACAGCTGTCTTTCCTTTGCAAGCAACTTCAACCAATTTACGCTTTCTTCCATGCCTTCTATTTAAAGGGGGCATCTTGGCTGCTGCTGCCAAATTTTTATTTTCTAACTTCTGGTCATGAAAGTTGAGTAATGACTCGTTCATGACCTTGACCCTTCTAAAGATATTTTTAATTCCATCTCTTTTCTTAGCATTCAGCAAACGTCTCATCTTGTCCAGGTCTGATTCCATTTGAGCAATGTGGTTTTTATGCCGCTTCCCTGTCAAGCTTAGTTCTGCTCAGTCCTGTCTATAGGTCCCTTTTTATAAGTCCTTCAATTGGTCGTTGCGTCACTGGAGATCCCCCCCACATGGTAACCAACTACTACTAGCGTTTGCAATAGTGTTGTCACGGTGATATAGCTACAACCGCTGGTCAGCCTCCGCCAGGTCCGGGCTGATACTAAAATTTGTTCTAACGCCCCCCGGCGTTTAAATGGCCATTAACTAACCCTTGGTCAGTTTCCATACTGTGAAATCCCCCTTACCCATGTACCTCCCAGGTCGACTACCCAGGCCTGAACACTCCACAATATCATTTTTAAAATAATAGTGTAGATGCATTTCTAGTCATTGATGTACATAATGTACACATTTCTCTGGATTATTTGATTGACTTGATAGTGTAGATGCATTTCTAGTCATTGATGTACATAAGGTACACATTTCTCTGGATTATTTGATTGACTTGATGTTTGACATCTAAAATGTTTGTCGACCCTGTATTAAAATATGGATCATATCAACCCCAATTGACAGATTTCTCCTAGTTTTATTCAATTGAAATATTAGGACACCCTATTTGCTTTGTGTATTGTTATTATTAAGTAAATTACTTGGTTGCTTTGTAGCCATTGTATATGTATCAATTCTAACTGCTCGCTACTTCTGTATTGCTCCTTGCTTTTATCAACTACGTCTCAATACACTTGATCACAAAGATTTTGATACTAAAATTATATGTGCGATACAATGATTTAATGTGCTGATACCAAATATTCCGTCAGAATCTGCCTAGAATGTCTACATTTTAAGTTTTGCTTGTGTTAAACTTATATACATCATAGAAACTGGATACTGATATCTGTTTCTGTACTGATGTGAACGGACTCATGCTGAAGATAGGTTACAAAATCATTGCTGATCATTGAAGACCTGTTCATAGAGTCCAGCAAAGCAAGCTAGAAAGCTGTGTTGTTGCACAATGTTAAAGGAAAAATCTGCTGTTCCCATAGCTGATGTTGTAGGTGTGTAGGCCTCAAAGAGACGGGATGCAAGGGAACTCACTTTGAAAGTAATCTACTGCTCAGAACACAACAGGAACATCTGTGATGACATGAAAGTGATCTACTTCTCAGAACACAACAGGAACATCTGTGATGAAAGTGATAGCACTTCTTCTTGAACTACAGCTAAGGGTACACAAATGTGTGCCTTTATGCTTGTGGGACAGTCGTGATGACAGCGACCATTACAAAGTGAAACTGGCTTTCTAGATCTGAGCACATTTGTTGTTTTGCTTAACATGTTACAAGCATCATTGGTTGATCCGTGTACTTACCACCACTTCACAGAAACTGGGCAATAGATTATAAAAGACAAGCCTTGAAGTATCTGAAAGAGAAATTTGGTGCAATCA